CTGCCCCTGGGCCTCCTTCCAGTTGGACGTGACCAGAACACCTCAAATGGGAGGCGCCCAGGAGGCATCCTGATCAGATGTCCGGATCACCTCAACTGACCCCTTTCAACATGAAGGAGCAGCAGCTCCACTCCGAGGTCCCTCCGGATGTCCGAGCTCCTCACCCTATCTCGAAGGCCGACCCCAGCCACCATTCTGAAGAAAGAAACTCATTTTGTTGCCTGTTTTCCAGTCCTAATGTAATAGAGTGTTCCAGGGATGACATTCTTCTTTAGGCTGACATAGGAGGTTAGTGTTGCCCTGGTTCTCTCGTCAAAAAGCATGATACTTAGTACACATTTTGTAAAGCAAGATAATCTTCACAAATGAGCACCAGTTTCATGATTATTGAAGCCAAAAGGCAACTGCCGGAAGTGAAAGGCTAATGTTAGGCTATAAACAAACTACACTATGGTTGCATGACTTAACATCCCTACCACAATGAGGCTTTAAATCCATGTTTGGCATGATGATGTTCTGTAGTCTCATTTAGCCACTTGTTAGGAACTGCCTTTTTTAAGACACATAGACACTTCCAAGTTCATGGGTGAAGTTTTAACTGACATAATGTCATAGGACAAAATGGAAAAGTCTCTTCAGCTTGTGTTAATTATTAACCAGTGAAAGCTCAAGTTGTGCAGCCACATTTTGAATTCTGGTGGAGAACCCCAAAGAGCCAATTTGATGTAATTATGCAGCCAAAATCAAAAATGGCTGAACATTTATTTTCAGAGTAATTTCCAATCTGTATGCAGAGAGATGTTTAAAGTCTCACTGCTATTTTCCTATTTTCCTACCATCACCTCAAATTTGGGGTCAGCTGAACATATATGCTGGAAACGCATGAGTCCATTTTGAAGCTACTTTCAAACCATGTGAACAGACATTTTCCCTCAGGCCCTGAGATCCCTGATTTCATTCTGTCTGCCATCCTGTTACTTTCAGCTGACCGAGTGAAGCCTCAGCTGGTGATGTGGGACACCTGCACATGTACGCTACTGTACATCGCTTCAGCTCAGACCATTCAGCCAATGCACATGTTCATGTTGAAGATCCAACATTCTGATTTTGATTTTCCTGAACTACATGATCTAATGCAGTTAAAATGGATGAAGAGTAGCCGTTGATGTGTAGTACAGTGTAGTCAGCTAATGAATAAATGTACCAGGGGAAAAAAAGCTGCTGCTTACAGCCCATGTGACTTCACATTTCTATTTTTATTGGAGTGTACTTTTTTTCTCAATTTCCATAAATACGAAGATGAGATGAGACAGAAAATTAAAGGCAGACATAAATCTGATGTTACTTGGCCTTTGTATTTAAAATGTAACCTTTGTTTTTGTTGTTCTAAAATGAAAGCACCAGCTTGTATGGATGTGGTTCTTACAAAAATACTTTTAAATGTTGTCCCCTTAGAGCAGTTTAATCCTTTGTTTGCAACTATTTAGGTGAATTGATAATCACTTGCATTTGCTCTTGCAGTTTTTTAACTAGAATATTTAAACATATATTCTAGTCAGTGCAGATCTTGAAAATAAAAATAACATACAACAACGAAAGAAAAATTTCATACAATTTTGCTCAGGCTGACTGTTAGTTATGCTGCAAGATTAATCTGCAAATCCATCTTTACAGAAGCAGCATTCCACCCCACCCCACTTTAAATTATGATAAACAACACACAGTACTTCCATTTTATTAATTTTGTAGCCTTTTATGATGGCTTCACATGTTTGAATATTTATTTCAATCTATCTCTATATTAAAATGTAGCAAAAAATGTGACAAACGTTCCTATATATTTTTGGCTATATGTACTTTTTAGCTGTTCTGTTTATTTATTTGTTTTACTTGTGTGTTTATGTGTATTGTCATTGTTTTATCTTGAGACTCTCTTGGCCAGACGAATGTTGAACAGTGGAGAAAAGTGTGTTTTCTGGGTGCGTTTATTTCCTGGATAGCACAGATATGGGAGCAGAGGATGAAAAGGATGAAGGAAGGAAAGTGTATGTATGTGTGTGTGTGTGTGTGTGTGTGTGTGTGTGTGGGTGTGTGTGTGGGAGGGGTGTTACTGTATGAAACTTGATGGTGTGTCACTGAAGCACGAGCACAGTTCACTGCTCAGGCACAAAGCTCTAAGTGACTGCCGTCCCCCTCCTCCTGATGCTAATAAGCAGATCTGGGTCAGCTCAACCTCTCAAACACAAACACACATGGTTACATACCCACTGGTAAGACACACACAATCACATCTATCCACACATCCCCACTCACACAAACATGCACATACGGTGACAAACTAAAACAAATACACCCCCATAGATTCTCTCCTCTCACACACACACACACACACACACTGACATCCATTTCTCCCAGGAGGCAAGACGTGACGATGCTCACAGCTCTCTGCTTGTTGTGCTTGTCATCCAGGCAGCGGTGATGAGGCGCAGGGGAACTAATAGGCTACAAGCACTCTGGGACTGCCACACGTGATGCCAAGCAGCCTCCATTTTGTGGAGGAATGAACAGACTGCTATTTCCCACTGATGGGGAGGGGAAGGAGGGGGAAGTATCATGTTCAATAGGGTCAGTCATGTTTAGTGTTTATGAATAACACAATCATTTGATAATGTCCATTATTATATTAAGTTTTAATCATTCGTTGACGTTTTTATATCAATTTCATTTGTGGTTCCCATTTAATGTGATGTGATTGGAAGTGAGTGGAAAATCCAATGTTAAATACAGGATTGAACTTTATTCATTGTTTACCTTTATAAATGATCTATTTTCTACTAGTGTCTTTTTCACATTGCTCAAGGGTACACTGGCAGGAATGGTCATATGTTTTCCTAACAGTTAAGCATTGACTCCAGAGATTAGAACCAGCAACCACTAAACTAAGCTCACTTCTAGAGCATATTGAGGGGTTTCACCAACCTTTCCATCAAATACTGTTTTGTGGAGGCAGGAAAAGACTGTGACTTCTGTCAGAAAACATCTGCCAGTGATGATTATGAATGTGATTATGAATCCCAGCATTCTGGAGTCATTTCCATTTTGTTGTCCTGACAACACAGAATTTTCTTTTATAAACATCCGTGTACATTTTCAACATCCCTTTAAGCCAGTAAGGGCTGTGTGATATTATTATCATTATTATTATTGTTATTATAATTATTATTATCAATTTCAATTCAAATTGATATAATAGAAATTACTATAATTAAGTAGGCTACAGTATTGCCCATTAATTCACAGGAGCAAAAACTCCTGTGAATTAACACAAATTAATTTGTAAATGTGGGGGTGACTGGCTGAAGACACAGAAAAGAAAAGAAGACAAAGCCTAGTGTGTGTGTGTGTGTGTGAGAGAGAGAGAGAGAGAGAGAGAGAGAGAGAGAGAGAGAGAAAGAAAGAAAGAGAATGAGAAAGAAAAAAAAGGAGGGAGACAGAGAGAGATAGTAGTGGGTGTAAGTGTACAGTGTACGTTACTCAAAGAGGGGTGAGTGTGTGTGTGTGTGTGTGTGTGTGTGTGTGTGTGTGCAGGCGCGACAGGGTGCGGAGGAGAGTCATGGAGGTTGCAGGGGTTTTTGTCCTCAGTGTGGCTCTGATATATCAGAAGTGCTCAGAGTCAGGATCGTTACGTAAACTGGCCTCTCTTTCTCCCTCCGTCATTCCTTCACTCACTCTCTATCACACACACACACACACACACACACACACACACACACACACACACACAGAGTCTGTCACTACCACTCTCTTCAGTCTCTGGCCCTGTAAGCCCAGCAGATCTTTTTGGGCCATAGAGTGATTAATGTGTTTGTGCACCTGTCACTATTCATGCATTCATGAATGTGTGTGTGTGTGTGTGTGTGTGTGTGTGAAGGGTATTTCTAAAAATACAAGGATTCTAATTTTTCAGCGTGTGTGCATACATGGATGTGTATCTGTGTTTCATGCTGGCAAGCCCTGACTTCTTAACATGGCAGGCACCAGGATTTTTTCTTTCCCTGTGTTAAGGAGGAGCTTCTCCAGTTCAGGGTGGTGCTAAGAAAATAGTAATTTTTCATTAATTCTTAGTTATTTATAAAGAACTTCTCATTTTTTTTTCAACAAAAGCAGTTATGGCAAACAGCACATTCACTGTAAATGTAGTTTTAATAATAATGTGACAGCAAATGTTAGCATGCCCAACTAACCAGCTAACACTGTCACCCAAATGTTAAGATTGAGGTATAAAGGCTAAGGCTAAAAGAGTGATTCAGGAATGAGTCCTAAATCTCAGAAATGAGCTAGCGTTTTAGCACTCCCGGTTGACTCATCTTGAAATCTGGGGGTTTTTGGTGATATATTTGAAATCAGGATAATGAGTCAGTGAGCTGTAAGAGGTAAAGTTATATTTGCAATTGCATTTTTTTTTTAATTCTAAAATATATTTTGATAGGAGATACAAATTCTTGCTCATATACAGTCTGATTTAAATAGTAACCAGGCCCTTTCCTTGTCTATTCACCAAGGCTAAACTAGTGTTGATCATCTCATAGGGCTTAATGCTTACATACAGTGTAGTACGACCTCTGGTGGTGAAAATAGGCATATTTTTAAAATTCACATTTACTGTAAATGCGCATAAATATGGTCCACATACACAATACATTACTGTTACAGCCCTCAGTTGCAGAGCAGATAAACAAGGAACTTTGAGCTGAAAATTACAAAAATAGGCTAAGCCATAAAAATGTGTTTGAAACAGTAAAACCAAAACATGTATTTTATTTTACTCGTTTATATTAAATACATTTTACGTATTTTTGCTCGACTTTTACTCGGATATTTTTCTACATATTGCTGAAATCACTGTCTGTATGTAAAAAAAAAAAGTCCATTTAAAAGAGTAGGAACTACATTTCGACGACATCAATACTCCACTCGGCTGTATTTTGCAGTGACACACTTCCAAAATGGCCGCAAATCAGGAGCCGGTGTTTCAAATTTTCTCATTTCAGGACTGTAAATTTTCTCCGGACCCGGTTTTTGAACTCCCGGCACAGTGTCTGACTCCCACACAGGTCCCTATAGTGATAGATAACGGCTCGTTCCAGACCCGGGCCGGCTGGGCTGCTCCGGAGGCGGACTGTGGTTCCCCGCGGCTGCTCTTCAGGTCGGTGGCTGCGCGCAGCAGAGGGGCAGCCCGCAGCGAGACCCAGATCGGTAACGATATCCCAAACCTGGAGCCGCTGCGGTGGCTGCTGAAGAGCCAGTTCGACCGGAACGTGGTGGTTAACTTCGAGATCCAGGAGCTCATCTTCGACTATGTGTTCACACACCTGGGCATCAGCTCAGAGGTCAGTGGTGGACGGGGGCTGGTGTGTCGTGGTGCCGACATTTATATCACATACACGGCAAATAATGTTTCCACGTCTCCTCCTCTTCAATAAGATCACACTTAAACTAGAGAGCTAAGGCTAATTTTTAATGCAATGTAATTTCTTTCCTGTCCTATTAGTGCCTCTTCAAAATGAGTATGAAAAGTTTCTACACTTAAGTAATATCCAAGGGTCTCTTTTGGCACAGGGGGCACATCTCCGTCAATATTTACACGATGTGCATTTGTCCCCCTGATAAAAACATGAAAGTAGCAGAAGACTTTTGACAAAATTACCAATTACAATTACACCAGAAATTAATGCAGACAAGACACAAGTTGGTGCACAAAAAACATCAGAATGCAGGAAATTAATACATTTTCATGTTTCCACTACAATCTTGAAACAAAACCTTTGCTCTTGCCATCATAATTTTACGAGAGCCTGAGGAAACATGCTCAACAGTCCAAAAACTGAAGATATCTGGTTTACTTTCATGCTGGACAAAGAATAAGAAATGCTGAATAGTGTTCATGTGGAATGACTTTTTAATCAATTGACCAATAGTTTCAATGGAAGCATACAGAAATGTATAAAAGGCACACAAATTAGAGCACAGTGCAAAAATACAATCTTTAAACTATACATAAAACATAAAAGTATAGTACCCTACTTAATTTAGTTGACTATATTAATTTAGTACAATATAGAGGACTACACTAATGCCAAAAGCAAAGGTACCTAATTTTTTGGCATCATGATATTTTCAATTTGACCAGCCAAAATACCAGAGGAAGACCATGATAGTTTAAAAAAAAAATGTTTTCAAACATCAAAAAAGGAGAAGTCTATATGTACAGTAAGATGTTGTATTTCTAATGTTACACATAGACTTTTCTGTACTTTTAACTCCATGGAAAGTGTCAGGTGTTCTTATCATTCATCAAACCTGTCCCTCCTGATAATGTAGTTCTACTATGGCAAAATAGAATAAAATGAAGACATGTTAGTGGACATAAAGGTCTGTAACTACTTTGGGTACATCCTAATTCCCTTAATCACATCCATGTTTCCCTCAACTGTGTCTTTTCCTTGGTTTATGTGCCTAGATTAGTTAAACCACAGAGTGTGACTGGTGTATATTCTGTTTTTGAAAATCAGCATTTAGTAATCTAGGTTATGATTAAAATGATCTATAGTTTGTAGAATTGTTTTAGCAACCTGAATGTTTTAGGGAAAGTGGAAATGATGTAAAAAGATTTTCAGCCTCACATGTGACTGAATGAAAATGATGACAAACAACTAAAATATATTTATTGTTAAAAACTCTCCTCTCACAAACTAATATTATCAGTGATGCAGATTTAAGGAGGAAAGAACAGATCATGAAGAGAAATTTCATTTTAAGAATAAAGGAAGCTGTAGAAAAAAGGTGTTTGTTTAATTATAGTAATTCAGGCTGGTGATATTTTGCCATTTTCGTTTTATATGTAATGTCAGACTAACTCACCGTCACAACCAGATGATCAATCAGCATTACTTCCTGTATGCTTTTGCAGGGCAGTGTGGAACACCCCATTGTGCTGACAGAGGCGCCCTGCAACCCACTGCACTGTCGTCAGATGATGTCAGAGTTGCTGTTTGAGTGCTATCGCGTCCCACATGTCTCCTACGGTGTCGACAGCTTGTACAGTTTCTACCACAATAACACTCAAAGGAATCTCCAGCCACCACACACTGGCATTGTCCTGTCTTCAGGATACCACTGTTCACACATCCTGCCGGTTATTAACGGCAGGTGAGGATTCAATTGCTTATGTGTTTGGCAGTTCAAAATTGTTTACTTTCTGTCATACACATATTTTGCACTGTTTGTTCTGTAGAGTCACATTGTTTATATGGTTTTGTTTCAAGGTTTGATGCAGTGAACTGTAAGCGTGTGAACGTGGCTGGGAGTCAGGCAGCGTCTTACCTGCAGCGTCTCCTCCAGCTGAAGTACCCAGGTCACCTCGCCGCCATCACACTCAGCCGTGTGGAGGAACTGCTGCATGAACACAGCTACATTGCTGTAGATTACCATGATGGTACAGTCTGTTGGTGTAAACATACATATATTTTGATGCACTTAGAGCTCTTCTGGGCAAGTTCACAACTCTGTTAAAATTTTCAATAACTAAAGGTCCCCCACATTTATCTTAAGTAACATTAATAAACTCCACAGAGACATGAATTTTCTCCTTGTGGCTGGTGGGGATGTGGGTGGTCCTAGACTGAAGGAGCTTGTAGACAACATGGAAATGCAACCCTTTCTTCCCTTCTTTTGTACCTTCCATTTCTTTGTTGCCTTCTCCACAGAGCTGGAAAAGTGGCGCAGCCCAGAGTTTTATGAGCGGGAGGTTCACCGTATGCAGCTTCCCTTCTCGGGTAAGGTGCCGGGCGGCTGTGTGAGCGTGGAGGAGAGGCAGGAGAGACGAGCTCAGCAGCTTCGACGGCTTCAGGAGATCAATGCTCGCCGCCGGGAAGAGAAACTGCTGCAGGACCAAGAAAGGCTGGACAGACTTATGGCAGTACAGGTAAGGGGCCTATCTTATTATTTATGGTTTATTCTTTAGGGTTTTTTTTTTGTTTTTTTTTTTTAGATGACTTAAGATTTAATCTGCAGACTTTTTGAACCATTTACATCTGATGATTACAAATAGACAAACTATAAGAAGTCTCATGGTTTTTCTAAGGAATTTTGTGTGTTCTCTACAACAGTAACTATAAAACATCCAAAATAAAAAGTATCTCTGAAAGGGAAACTAAGTTATTTTTGAAACTGAACCCTTTTCTTCCATGTTTTTGTGTTTTGAATCGACTAATGGAGGCAACAATTTTTGGAACTGGTCCAGTATTAAGAGAGACTGCTGTAGCTGCAGGAGTGAAACAGGCTGCAGTTTAATTCCTCCGGTTGTGCATGTCGATTTACATCTATTAAAAGTTCCTGTTTTTGCCGCTGACAGGCTCAGAGTGTTATTTTAAGTGTCTGACAACATCACGGAAAAGACCCTTTCGCTGATCTGGTCTGTCAGTGTGTGTATCCAAGTCTTGCCCAAGTCTCGTTCTAAAATCTAGGACTTTTCCACATTGTCATGACATTAAAAATATGTTTGATAGCACTAAGCTAGGTCCACCTGTATTCCAACACAACAAACTCTCCCCAGCACTCCTCTCTCCAACTCTAACGTTTCCATCATTATTTTTCCTGAAACACGTCACCTCTCTCTTCTTCTTGAACTGAGGGTGCATAATTGTTGTCTCTATTAGTCACTTAGAAACAGACACATGGAAAAGTAGGGTCGATGTTGAAAATAACAGTTGGCATGTGGACACATGGATGCAGACCATACACATATATTCTGGTCTTGCCAAAGCATAAAGGGATATTCTGATAAAATATGGCGGGGTTTACAAAACATAATAGGATATGAGATAGCAAAAACATGTAAGATACTTTACTTGGGGAATCTAACACAAGACATAATACAAAAAGAGGATGAGTATCTTGTTAAAGTGCGGCTATCTGCAAGTTAAAAAGCAATTACGAGATTGTGGTATAAAGTAGAACCACTGACCGAGGAGTAGGGCTGCCACGATTAGTTGACTAATCGATGACTAATCGACTATTAAAATAATCGGTGACTATTTTAGTAGTCGACTAATCGGTTTGAGTCATTTTTCATAGAAAAGTACTATAAAAGTACCCCAAAATACTCTTACTGCAGCTTCTCACATTCAGATATTGGCAGCTTTACACACTCTCCCGTGACAGTGAACTAAAACCCTGGCATGAGTATGAAACAAGACATTAGATGATGTAATTTTGAGGTTTGGGCAAGACAGAACGACATTTTTCAACATTTTAACACATTTTTCGATGAAATGATTAGTCGACTAATCGAAGAAATAATCGACAGATTAGTCGACAATGAAAATAATCGTTAGTGGCAGCCCTACCGAGGAGCAGTGGGTGTTCACTGTGGAAGAAATACTTGTAATGGAGAAACTTACACATAAATGCAGCTAGTGTGTGCTGCACACTGATCATAGAGCTTGTGTGTGTGCAGGAGCTGCTGGAGGACGGCCTGTTGGATCAGTTTCATAAGAGCTTGGTGGAGCTCAACATGGACTCCGCAGAGGAGCTGCAGTCTTACATCAACAAACTGCAGCTGGCCGTGGAGCAGGGCAGACAGAAACTGCTGCACAGTGACGGGGCAGAGGGAAAGACGGAGGTGGGTGTTACTGCACCAAATCGGAGAGAAAATGAATCAGGAGATCTTGATTCTTTGTTATCTTGTGAGCGCTTTGTGCACATCTGGAGGCACTGAGTCTGGAAGAACATTTGGGTAGCTAAAAAAATGCTTCCTATGAAATCTTGAAGTGTATCCTGTGTTTAAATGGGAGCCAGTGGAGGTCATCGAGAACTGGGGTGATGTAGTCATGTGAGCAGGATCTAATAAGTAGGCAAGCGGCAGAGTTTTGTACATACTGACGGTTATTTAGGACATTGTTTGTAATGCTGTAGAGGATGCTGTTGCAGTAGTCATGTCTGGATGTTACAAGTGCATGGATGAGTGTTTCAGCAGCAGAGGGAGACAGAGAGGTTTGGAGGTGGGCAATGTTATGGCGGTGAAAGAAGGCTGTTTTGGTGATGTGGTTGACATGAGGCAGGAAGGAGAGGGTGGGGTTAAAGACAGCTCTGAGGTTGCGGACTTGGGTGGAGGTGGTGATGATGGAGCCATCAATGTTGAGAGCGAAATCCTGGGTGGGGTGAGTAAAGGAGTGTGGGCCAATGATTAAGATTTCTGACTTATTGCAACTTGAGTGAATACCATTATTACATGAAAAGTGGCAACAGTAACAAGGAAGCAAAGTGGACAAACTTCTCTGTATTCTCCTCAAAAGTAATGACAGCAGCTGATCAACTCGGGAGCCACTGAGCTGAGGTCACATTTGAATGTGCCAAAAATTAATTAGGGCTACATGTCATCGCCACAAATGTGCTGCAGGGCTCTACAGGGTCCGTCCTTGTTTGCTGCAGTGGATGTGCCGCAGCTGACACGAAGCCTGAGGCTGTTCTCTTGCTCTCTGCCAGGTGTCTGAGCTGGAGCAGCCGATGGACGAGGGAGACGGAGTGGCGCTGATGGATCCTGACTTCCCTGAGGACACGCTGCCAGAAAAACCTGCTAATGTGGTTCAGGTAGTGGCACAGAGACACTGGAGCTTCCCAGACAGATATTTAGATCCTCATTAATGCTGCGCAGGCAATTATCTGCCAGTTTACTGTGTGGCAGGATGTGTTCGAAAACTTTTTGTCCTGCATTATAACAAACTAACTTTTCTCATAAGCTGAAACACTTGGTATATGGCACATTGACATCAGTGAAAATTAGTTTGATCTTGTCTCCAGCCCGTGTTCAACATGGCAGAGTACCACCAGCTGTTTGTTGGGACAGAGCGTCTGCGGTGTCCAGAGATTCTTTTCCAGCCCTCGCCGACCGGAGAAGACCAGATGGGGCTGATGGAGACGCTGCAGTACGTCCTGGCCAGGTAATAATGCAGCAGGACAGGTCCGCAAGCATCACACACATTGTCTCTTTTATTTCTTGTATTAACCTTAGTCATTTTTTGTTCAGAAAATGACACGTTTAACATTGATACATCACTGTTCATGTCTGTCTTGCATCTTCTGTACCACATACAGATACACTCCAGAGCAGCAGGAGGCGCTGGTGAGCAATGTGTTTCTGACAGGAGGGAACATGCAGTACCCTGGGATGAAGGAGAGAGTGGAGAGAGAACTGTTGGCTATGAGGCCGTTCCAGTCACACTTCAAGGTACAAGATCCTTTTTAAAACCCTATACACACACACACACACACACACACACACACAACCCACTCCTAACTGAAGAGCCAAGCCGTGCTGCTCTGAATCTCTTCCCACATCACGTGTTTTAGATGTTGACCCAAGAAAGACACATCTTTTCATTGTTTGTCAACGTCTTGTACATATAATACAAATACAAAAAATTTGAACTGTGATATGATTACTGTGCTTGTTTGCACATAACATATATTATGACTGATTGGACACAGTTGTAACTGCTCAAATACTTCAGACATAATCTTGCAATGACATTTTAACTCTGATGGACTCCTTCCTAGGTGACAATGGCATCGCGGCCAGCCCTGGACGCCTGGTAAGGGGCGAGAGACTGGGCCTTGGAGCATCTACCTAGTGGAGAGGGAGGAGCAGCAGAGGGATGGATCAGCAGACAGGAGTATGAGGAGAAAGGAGGCGAGTACCTGAGTGAGCACTGTGCCTCTAACGTCTTTGTTCCCATGAAAATCGCAAAACCAGTTCCTGCTCGCCCCACAGAACAATCTCTTACCACACTGACATCAAGCGGAGCTTCTGCTGCCGTCACCACAGTTACATCTGCTGCCTGTGCTACTGTTGCTGCTGATGTTTCCATGGTAACCTCCTGAACTGAGATCTCAATCATGACGAGTCTCCGATATTCAGTGAATCCCGGAAATAATTTTTGAAAGAAGTGTTTACTGTCATTCAGTTTGACTTGACTTGACTTTGACCCGCTTCAACATCAGTTTCTGACCTCTAATGTTTCCCAGCATGCGCTTCAACATCACCCACAGAGCAGGTATGAACTTGATGCTTTAATCACAGGTGACGAAGACTTTGCTTTTTGGTTCTGAGGGACTGAAAACAAAACTGTATGTGAATCATTGAGGATTCAAATTGATGGTCCTGCCCAAACATGATTGTAACTGCAAATAATAGTGTATGTCCTAGAGTGGTCTGCTATTCGACATTTCTCTGTGGAGGTTTAAGAAAACACCATCAAACAACAATATAAGCTCAGAAATACAAGGTTCATTAGCAATAGCTGTTTTTGCAGTGTTAAGACATCATTTTCCTTTATGTACCAACAGCCACCATTCAGGAATGTTGAATGGTAATGCACTTCCTGTTTGTTCTTTATTGGCACCTATCTGTTTCTGGTCTCCTGTGACTTTTGTAACTTCCTGACTGGAACTGTTTTGGAAATACAATTTTGTTTTATTTTCATAATGCTTGTCAAAACCGCAAGAGACTATTCATACTGAGTGGTCATCAAATGAAAGATCTTAAAAAGGTCTAGTGGGATTATTTTGTATTACTGTGTAAATAGAGTTTGTTGTTTGTATATTTTAAAATTATATATTTTCACTGATGTGAACAGCTGTTTGCTTTTGATTGAATGGCAGCGTGAGAAGAAAGTCTGGCAGCTGTCTGAAGCAGCTGGTTACAGAAGAACAGTCTTTGATATCAGTCCCCCGTCTTCAGTCCTGTCTTTTTTCTTTCACTACAGCCCACTTTAAAAACAATTAAAGGTTCAGTTCACTGAAATTATAGACACAGGCACACACATTCTTGTACTTTTATCTTAGTGAGGACCCTCATTGACATATGGTATTACCTAGCCTTTTACCCTTATCTTAACCATCACAACTAAATGCCTAACCTAAACCTAATTTCAACCCGAACCCTAAAACCAAGTCATTACCCTCAAACAGGCCTTTGAAAAAATGAGGACTGGCCAAAATGTCCTCACTTTGCAAAAATGTCCTCGCTCTGTTGCTGAAATTTGTTTTTTGGTCATCACTGTGTAGCATGTACAAGTACTTACTCACACACACACACACACACACACACACACACACACACACACATTTTCTAACTCACCTCTAGTTGTATGTAACAATGCAGTTAGTTCTGGTTTTATTCGCCAGGTTTTATCTGTTCATTCCAATACAATGGAGAGGAATAGAATTTTGTTTGTTGCCTCACAGCATTGAAAAATTAAATTGCAACATGTTTTTTTCCCAGAAAACATGTCCACATGACTGTCGATTGAGGCTCCAACAAGCAATTATTTTCAGCACCAGTTAATGTATTGTTTAAGTTTTGGATTCATCGATTACATTTACTCAGAAAAACTCCCATCACAGTTTCCCAGAGCGTCTGAAAATGCTTGTTTTGTTTGACTAATAGTTAAACCTCTACAGATATTGAATTTACAGTTAAACGGATACAAGAAACAAATCATCACATCGAGAAGCTGCAACTAGAGAAAGTTTGTTTTTGCTTGATAAATGACTGAAATGATATATCCATTATCAGAATTGTTGGTCATTTATTTTCAGTTCAGGCACATACCTCCAAAACTTGACCAATAAAACCTTAAATTTTTCCAAGAGAAGATAACACTAGAGGTAGTCTAAGTGAGAAAATATTTTGATTTCCTTTTTTTTTGGTGATAAATTGACCCCTTAATTAGTGGAGTTTGCGATTTTGGAGAAATTTTGTTGATATTTGAGCTCAACACCCAAACAAATACACTTCTCCTGTCAGTTTACCATCCCTCTCACCTCTAATGCCTTTCTTTTTAAACATTTGTGAACTTTTCCCAGTCCTGTGCACGGACAGAACACAATACTGTTGCTTGGTCTGAGCCACTTAGTTTGTTTCCTATTTACAGAGCCAGGGCTGTGTATGAGAACTGGATTTTTTTACCAGCACAGAATAGACAGCTAGCCAACCGTGTGGAGATATCTGCTGGACTGGACAAAAGCCTATTGGATTAAAATCACAGACTGCACCTTTAAATGCAGCATTTATAACTAGGTGTTGCAATATAGTTTTACACCACTAGATGGATCAGATTAACACAAAATGTATGCATCCTCCACAGCTCTTCAGCCTCTACAGCATGACTGAGCATATTTACAGTAGCAGATCTGTTATACAATATAACTAGACTAACCTCTATAACAGCAATATAGATTTTCTTAAAGTCAAGAGTTTCAAACTTCTGAAAAGTTGGTTTATGCACGTAAAGTAGCAAAGTCTGCTGTGTCAGCCAGCTTTAACAAGAAATTGATTGTCACTGTTGGTTTCTATTCATATTTAAACCGACGTTGTATTTTTCTATGAATGCCAGTTGAACAAATGTACTTTGTGTTCAGCTGCTAATCTACATACCCATACTTTAATCAGCCTAATGTTCACAAGTACATGTGATAGCCATGTGATAGGAACCAATGATTCTTGACATGGTATATGTCCACCTCTCTCTCTCTCTCATCTGATCTAAAGGTTATGACTCTTAAGAACTGACCCTGAAGAACTGTCAGGTGTCCTGCAGGTCTGTTTGCAGCACTGGTTTGTTCCATGTTGGTCCACATTATTAAACCAGCAGACCTCTGGGGTCTAATAGTATTACGTGGTTTTAAACTGTGCCACAGCTCAAGGTTCAAACCATCCGTCCGCTTGTTCTGTTTCTCCTCAAGCAGTAGTAACAACCACACACACACACACGCACACACACACACACCCCTGGTTTCCACAGCAGGGCAGAGCAGGCTAATCAGAGCCAAACCAGGCCTGTGACTGCAGGGTGATTGGCTCAAATATAACAAGAGGGATTAAAAAGGAAAAACAAGGCAATCTTTTATGTGTAAAAGCAAGTAAACAGGATTTATTTCTATGGCGACACTACATTTCAGTAAGAGTGTCTTAATGATGTGTGGAGAAAAAAACTTCAACTGCAGGTGCAACTCAAAGAAGACAGTGTATAGTGTGTGTAATGGGGATGCCATTGTGTGGCTTTTGGGTTGTTATACACCATAAACAAGCAGGTGGATAATCTTTAAAGACTATTATTTACTTACTAAGTGGCTGTTATCCATTTTGATAGTGGCCTGGTTCTTCTAAGCCCTTCAGGAAACACTGTGGCTCCAATTCAGCAACTGAAACGTGATGGGTGATCATGGCGCCCACTTTTATCTATGTTCATACCTGCCTTTACCTCCATCGTGCTCACCTCTACCACCTTGACAGATGTCAGCCATGAACAAGTCAAATTTACTGCTAGGACCAATATGCGTCATCATTAGGTGGGGTTTCTAAATAAATTCTCTGCTGAACAGCTCATGGTATACTGAAGGTGCACCACGCACGTCTGCACTGTGTTGGACCTATATTGGCACAGTTTGTGCCATAGTGTTGGCCAGAGTCCAATTAGGAGGATTTATCTGTGAGCTCTGTGCTACAGGTCAGCAGGAGCAGCAGGCAGGGCTGAGCTCATGTCACACAGTCCTGTGTCGGAGGGGAGGAGAAAGAGTTGGAGGTGTGACAGCTACACAATGAGTTTTTTTAAGGGTTTGACAATCTTATTTTATTTAATTTTCCTTGTGTAAAATTTGTCACAAATTCAAAATACATCTGACGGCAACAACCTGATCCACTTATTTTGTTCTTGTCTTGATGATTACAGAGTTTAAAATAGCCTGTTGGCAGAATGTCCTGTTGGCACTGTTACATAAGGTGAAGACTAGTTGAAATCCAAGGCAACCTTTGTTGCAAAGACTTGGAGCTATTTCTCTCTCCATGCTTCCTGGTTCTATTCAGGCGTTGCACAAGGACAAAACATTTGCATGCCATTGCCAACACAAATGGCTTTTGTTTGGTGGGAAGCCTATTATTACTTCTGGCAACTTCTGGAACACCTGCACAGCTGAGAATGGAGAACCCTTCCTGGTGAAGCTCATTTGGTTTGGGGTGGTTTATTCTGTTTTTTTTTTTTTCTAATGTAGCTTAAAACCAGCAGTGAGTTTAAAGGGCCAGTGTGTAAAATGGGTTGAAAACAGTGACATCAGTGGTCAAATTCTAGATTGCAGGGCTCACTCGCTCACCCCTCCCGTCAGGTAAATGACGGTGGCCTCATAGGGACAAAAAGCCTTGTGCAGACACAAGTTTTTCAGGAGTAGGTCTATCTAGCAACGAGGTAAATGTTTATTTAGTAATCTAAACCATGTTACGATATTGTAATGAATCCATCATGAGCAGGAGACCAGAGTAGCGTTCGGGAAAAAAGGCCAGTTTATTTGAGCGCTCCAAAAACTCCAGTAACACTCCAGGGGGTAAAAGACTCCGTCCCAATCTCTGACTCTTCTAGCGTAACACACACAGTTCATACACACATACTGGTTTACAATACCTAGCGGGCACCCCCTCCCCTCTCTGCTCCACCAATCTCCAGCCCGCACACTGACTGACAGCGTAGCCTGTAAACAGAGCTCAGCTGTTTATTTAGCCTAGCAATATCTCCGGACTATAGTAGCTGCAATGGACGACTTTGAACGCGATTTTGAAGAGTTTCTTGTAGCGGACACAGACCCAGAGCCATACCTGTTTGAGCCGGAGCATACAGATGAGGAACTCCATGTGTTTGATGCTGAGCGGGTGAGAAGAGAGGCTGAATGCACAGAATGGGATTCGGTGCTACTGCTACCATCGTTGGGGAGATATATCATCAGGAGGAAAAGCGCCGCAGAGAGTGCATCACAAGGAGTGAAGTTGCGTCTTCTTTTCCTCGCAGATGACGGTTCGGGTTCATTCTCTCCTGTTGCGTGGTAAGTGTGGTCCATTCACAAACTTTATAACTAAAAAAACCTTTCACTACTCTCTATCAACGAACTACTAACACTCTCTGCTGTTTCTTCCTCCTTCTTCCTTCCTTCCGCTGTCTTCGTTGGTTTATTTATACACGCGAAACGCGTTCTCTGGCTGGCTGGATTGTCCGCTAGGGCTGCCTTACATACATGGCGGCGCAAGATGGCGACCTCTCTAAAGCAAGGCCCTTGCCATATATATATATAAATAAAAGCATAATTATAAGGCTACGAAAACCAAACGAATTTTATTTTATAGCGATTATACACTTATATAAACATATTAATGGGTAGAAGATTCAGATTCAGATTCAGATTTGACAATAAACCATGCCAAATATTTACACTGGCCCTTTAATCTATAATAATGTATAATATGACTGACTTTCAAATAAATGTAGTGGAGTTAAAAAGTACAGTGAAATGAAAATACTCATCCTTAAAATTGTACTTAAGTGTAGTACTTTTACAGACAAGTTGTTTTGAAAGGTATTTGAGGTTGATGCATTCATGAGAGAGGCTGTGACATCTGACTTCCTCTGCCAAAGTGATTTTTCTTAAGATCCAAGAAACAACCAAATTCATAATGTCCTATTAAAGATGTTCATGTTTGATTACTGTTTGCCTTGTGGCACTGATTTCCAAACTCAACCAATGAATTCAGTGTACTTCTTGGCAGCTGTGTGTCTCTCCAGTGTCAGGGCTTCAACATAATGAGCTGAGT